AGAGAGAGAGAGAGAGAGAGAGATTATATAAGTCTTTTATGTTATAAATAAATTTATAACATTTTTTAATTTTAAATATTAACTTGCATTTTTACAACAACTTAAAATACAAAATCAATTGTTTTAATTGCAATCGACAAAGGAATAACATTAGCAAGCGTGACTGAATATCAATTTCTTAGACAAAACGTTGAGATTTATAATGAAGTTTTGTACTGATTGCAAAATGATCTCTGTTTTATATTTTTAATTTTTTAATTTATGTTGTTAGAGGATTGTTTGAAATTGGAATCGTTTAGGTTTATTAGTCGGTCATTAAAAATAATAATAAAACGCGCTTATTAATTAAAAAGTCCCTTTATTAAAAGGAACAATATAATATGATATACTACGGAACATATATTATACTGTAAGTATCGAGAAAGTACTTTGTACTAAAACAGTCTTACTCTATAGTTAAATGTGTTACGTTTATTAAATACACACCTGTTACGTTCGCCTTGTTCTTGTGATATAGCAACGTGCGTAAAATTACATTCTTGTGTTTGTGAAAAGATTGATGATGAGTATCGTTTGCTACAATCGACTCGATTTGTGTAACAAAATTATTCAAACTGATGCTCGTGATTATAAATTAAAAAATTCGCTTTTAACAATAAAATATCTAAATATATGCAATAATCTGATTAAAAACAAGACGGTTTATGTGAGAACATCACCTAAATACGAGAAGCATCACTTTCAGTCAAAGTTAGATGTTACTTTAGCTAAAACATGCATTACACGCTCACTAGACACACCCCTGCACTTATCTATTTAAGCACGCTTGTGACTGCTCTGGAAATGGAAATTACATTCTATGATAATTTTCTCGCGGATTCGCCGAAGCGAAGAAAGTCCCGCAGCTCGAACGACACGCTTCGCGGCTCAACGCGGAAAGAGACGCGGGAGACAATCACCACGAATGGAGTACGCAACCGGTGAAACGAACCGTTTACAGTTGACTGAACGAAGTAAATCACACAATGCTGTATGCTCGTTCTAATGGATATTCTTATAGTAAGATATCCTCGCGCCTCGTTTTGTTTTTTTACTTCATGTCGATAGCGATGCACTTGGCTCAATTAACGACACATTCCTCCCCTCAAGCGTCTTTTACGAGGAGCTCGTAATCGCGCCGTAAAATGAAGAGTACGAGCGCATTGTAATTGGGGTACCATGAAGCTATACGTCGGAGTTTCTAATACGTGAACCGGAGAAGAGAGGCGTTTGGGTGAAACGGCTTGACGAACGAATCCAATCGAGAGTAACAGAATCGTTGAACGATCGGATCTGCACGCTTCGCGAAGCAGGGTATCTAATCGTTCTAACGTTTTTCACCCTACCTCTCCTTTCAGATGACTGGAAAATATAAATTAGGCCATGCGGTCCGTGCTGCCGGCCAGTTTGACGATAGACCTCGATCGAAGATGATTAGAAATCACGCCGGCGATTCGCACGTAAATCGCGATTTTCTCTCCTTTGCCGCGACGAACATAAATTGATAAGCATCACCTGTTGTCTGCGTAGAATCCGTGTTCTTTGAAAACCAAGTAACGTAGTGTCTTCCACTGCTGTGAAGAGTCTACATCGCAATTCGTTGTCGTGAAAACGAATTCGATATTTGGTGCCGTTCTTCGCGATCTTAAACTGATACAGTTTGTGATTGAAATAATATTCATCTCCTCTCATATATTACAATAAATAATTAATATACACGGAAAGAATAACGGTCTTGCTGAAGTATCTAAAAATTATTAAGTTATAAATACAGATCTGATGATCATGCTTAAATTTTTATATACTTATTTTGATGATTCAATAAAATCATTTTTAAATCTGTATCTATTAAAATTTTTTAATATTTCAGCAAAATCATTCTTTTTGTGCGTATTTCTAACATTTAAACATTAATGTTACATGTTTCAGTTCTAATAGTCAACATAATAATTGTGAAAATGTGCGTATTGAAAACTTTTTTTTACACTTTAATAGTTATTGTTAGTCACATGTCTAACAATATTTTTTCAACTTGGTAGTGCTATGAAGCGAAGAACAATTCAGAGAAATGGAGCAGCAACGAGAAACCTATAATCTAGTTATCATTTTTGTTCTGACGGTCGCCAGCATTCATCATGTGTCATCATCGAGTCAGAATATTAACACCACTAAGACCAATATTGATTCCACCGATGGTGATAAAGTTACCAATCACACTTGGTTGCAGCCCTTGAACACCACGACAACAATCTATCAAGATTTCACAACCTATTTGCCAACTTCAACGAATGTAGAAGTGAAAGAAATACTTGATTCTTCGGAAACAAAGAACGTTCTGAATCGATATACATCGCCATTTTATCAACATGACGAGTATACCAGAAAAGATGATGACCCAGAAGAGCCTCCAGATTATCCGATACCATATTCGGAACACGAAGAGGCCAGAGATGTGCCTACTAAACCACAATACGTGGCTCCTGGAATCTGGGCGAAGCCGCCACCTGAAAAGAACATTACCTTGGACTTTGTACCGACGAGACTGCATGCTCAGGTTCGAGGAAGTCACACTGTGAAAAGATTACCGCAGCAGCAGGCGGTCGAAAGCGCGGAGACCGATGAAGAGAAGCATAATGCACCCAGATTGAGGGAAGTTGTCACGAACACAAAGGTTAACACGGTGTACAGCGAGGAGGGATACGAGGATTCAGCTTACGATCATGGAGGACACATTAGAGATGCTGATTTTCACGAAGGATTTGCGCGCAAACTTCACGATCGTAAGAAAAGCGAACAAAATTCTTTAAGCGGTAAAAAGAAGAAAGAGAAAAACAAGAACTTGGTGCCGGATGAATTCAAGGAGTATGAGGAAGACTATCAAGATCATTTGCAAGAAAGTAGAAAGTTCGAGGAAGCGGATGATGAAGATAATCTGATAGGATACGGTAGAAACAGCTGGAAAGAATCTGAGATAGATCCCAAATTTATTGCTAAGAATAACATCCAGAAACTGGAAGAGGATATAGAGAAGGATGCTGAAGAGACCGAGAGGAGTTCGAAGGTATATCAAAATGCACAAGAATCGAAACTTCGCCATGACATCAAAGTTGACAGTTCGGAATTGGAGAATGAAGATCACGTTGAAGATAATGTAAAATATGAAAATAAGTCTATCAAGGCGAAGAAAGAGAAAAAATCCAAATTGCGAAATGGAAAAGATAATAATGTAAGTAAAGGGACAAAACAATCGCGTAAATTAAAACAAGAGAAAGAGCTTTCTGAGAATTACGAGACAACCGCGCTTCCACTGGAAGAAACAAGTTTAACTGATGTTGAAACGTTGGCAATTCCTCATGGTTTTGTGAAAAATTCTCCGAACTCGCAGATATATTCCATTGATCAGACGACTTTTCGCTATGTCGCCCCGATCACAACAGATTTGTTTCGACAAGTCGACGAGCCTACCACGGTCGATTACAGTCAGCTCTTCTGGGATTACTTCAAGGAGAAGCAAGATCCATCGATCATCGAGTCGTCTACACTCGAGCCAAATTTGGCAACCATGAATCCGCAGGAGGAAGCGCGAACACCAATCGCGATTGCGACCATTGACGGTCACGGTCCGTATCTTCTAGTGACGAAGGAGGAAACTGTGACGTCGCCTTCGACATTCCTCGAAGAAGAATTTTCGAATAGCTTTCGTCGGCGAGATTTGTTCTCCGATCATGTGGGATTCGATCAGCCTTCCGTTCAAACACACGGTCGTCATCTGCTCGAACAAAGAGACGATGCTGATTACGTCAACAACGTGATAACCGCGTCCACAATTGAGACGTTCACCAATATACAACCCTTACCATCATTAAGTCCTAAAGGTGTAGAATATTCATCTTCGACTACTCTTTTTGACACTACAG